AGGGCGGTGCTTAACCTTTCGGTAGAGCCCGGTGGACCGTGGTTACGGACGGCCACCCCGAACAAGTGCCGGTACCACAACTGCTCTGTTGGAAACGAAACGACTACCTTAAGTGTGCACACCCCCTAAAAGGGATTCCAAGCCCTCCGAGTAGTAAGTCATCCCGAGTGGTCGGAACCCAACCACCCCAATGCTAAAATTCTTGAATGATTAGGGACTACTACTATAACTTCTTCTTAAAAAGGGATCATAGATCCAAATCTCACTTAAAAGGGATCATAGATCCAAATCTTACTTAAAAAGGGATCATAGATCCAAATCTTGCTTAAAAGGGATCATAGATCCAAACTGTACTTCTTAGTAGTAGTAGCTCTGATCACCCTCCACATTTATCCGGATGTGGAAAAACCGACACCTCGGATTACTCCCGAGATGCTATCTTCTTATGAAAATGTAAATTTTATCTTTGCTTAACAATACTTCAAAAATACTTCTTAATTTCTCTAAAAAGTCTCAAAGGTATTTAAAAATATTTAATACCCCAAAAGTTCTTGATTTATACTTCTTAACTACCATATATATAATATCTTCTCAAAATCACATACACAAAATTCACAAATCACACTTAATCACATAATGCATAATAAGCATATAATACGAGGAAACAATTTTGGATTGGCAGAGAAACTTACATTAAGTCCTGATGCTCCTAGTTATCCTCCTCTAATCCGGTCTCTAGATAATCACCTTTTTAATTAAATATGATAAAATTAGTCACTTATTCTATTTGTAATTACTTTACCCGATTTTCTCCTTTTATTTTATTATTCGAATTTATTAACTTAATTTATTAGTTATCCGAATTTATTTGATTACTCACGTTCTATTAATAAAATTACCTTATTAATTTCATCCATTAATTTTAAATATTTGAAATAAAATATCCGAATATTATTGACTACAACATCCAATTTTTATTCAATAATCACCATTAATTTTCTCTAATTATTATCTAATTACTTTATTTACATAACCGAAAATATTTATTTTCTTTATTTTATTCAAACATTATTTTTAGTCCAGAATATTATTTTTTCAACCTCTGTGATTTATTTATTTCACCATTAATATTAATATTTCCTTATTTAATTACTTAACTAGTTTTATATGGCCTAATTTAAATAAATAGACTAAGAATTGACTTTATAAATTAAAAACCGTCTATAACTATATTTTGGGTCTATATTCGACCTAGGTTGTCCAGATATCTATTTTATAATTATTTTCCATAATTATTCCCTTAATTTCATATATCTATTAATCGGTTTAATTACAATTAAATATACTAAACCTTATTTTTATTAATTATAAATGGTCCATAAGGTTCTAGTTAGTCATATATTTATCCTAGTTTACTCCAATATTTATTTCATAATTATTTTCGTTATTTAGTTAATTATTTACTAAATGTGTATAAATTGGCCCAATTACCATTAAATCAATTAAAAATAGCTAAAAATATTATTTTCCAATTCTGGTTGGTCCGAATATGTATATTTATACTAGGTATTTAATTTATATTTTTCCAGATTTTATTTATTTCATTTACTATTTTATTTTTAATTTTTATTGCAACTGGGCCGAACTGGCCCAAATTAAATTATTCTGGCCCAAACATTTTAGGCCCAAGAGGGACCCCAGCTCAGCTGGGTTGTCTTCCTCGTGACATCGCCGGAAAACGGGAAAAACAGGGGGGGGGAAGAACTCACCTCGTTTGGACGAGCGAACGGCCGAAAACGGTGGTAGCAGGGCGGCGAAGGTCAGAGGTGGTACGGCGGCGGCGGCAGCTCCTCCCTTTTCTCCGTTTTCCGTCGAAATGTTTTTCCCCGGCGAAACTCCGGCGAGGCTTTTCTCCCTCGTTTCACGACCGTTTTCGACGATTCTTTTTCCGTTGGATTCGTATTACGAAGGGGAAGATTTGAGAAGTATTTTCAAGGCTTGTTTCTGGCTAAAACGCTGGGTCGTAAAAATATATAAATACGTATATATGTATATTTCTTAGTTTTTGGGATGAAGAAAACGCAGGTTCTGGCCTATTATTTATAGGGGAAGATGAGGGTTTTAGGCTGGGATGTTAGAGTTGGAGTTGGAGTTGAAGTTGGAGTTTAATCAGCTTCGTTTTTTGAAGTTTGCCGGACTCCTTCCTTCTACTACGTAGCAGTATTATTATTACTTACTACCTCCTTGTTATCATTAATCGGCAGCTTACTTTACTAATATTACGTCCAGATTTATGTAGTTATATACTAGGATAGTACTACGTATCTAGTAGTATTTAGTTTTAAAAGTCCTCCCTTTGTGTATGGTGTAGTACGTAGGTATAGTATTATATATACGTATGTTATACTATTATTATTACTTACGTATATATATATATATGTATTATGAGTATTTTAATTATTTAGTATATACTTTGTATATTATACAACCTAAAATAGTTATATAAAAATTAATTTTATACTAAAACGTAATTTCTATTATCGGGCCATTTTTATCTGATTAAAAAAAATCGTGAACTTGGAAATTTTATCTGATTAGAATGTTACGACTGTTGAATTTTTGTCTGACTCAATTAATAATTAAAATGTTATTTTCGTAATATTTTTATCTGACAAAAAAAAATTATTTTTATTTAAATTTTTGAAGTGTCACAGATAGCCTTGCTGACGAGGTTGCGGTTTGATTTAGTTCTTCCAATGATCAGTGGTTAGCTGTGCTTGGTAGCGACGAAGGGTGCTAACTTGATTGTTCTAACTCTCAATGAGAGCACCAAATGATAGATTATATCTAGAGAGAAGTGAGAGCTAGAGAGAGAAGTGCAATAATATGCTTCAATAGAATGATTTTGTAACCCTGATAACTACCTCCAGAGGAAGTATTTATAGGGAAAATACGGGCTGGGCTCCCAAGCCTTGGGCTTGGGAGGCCCATTTACAACTGGACCGCTACTGGGCCGAATACAAAGCCACTAATGGGCTGTTCAAATGAGTAAGTGTAAAATCCGGTTCTGTGAGGTCTTCGTGGCCGACGAGGGCGTGGCCGACGAGGGCACGGCCGAAGAGGGCTTGGCCGACGAGGGCACCCGGGTTCCTTGGATTCAGGACCATATTCTGAGTTGGTACCTTCTCGGCCGACGGGGGTCCCTTGGCCGACGAGGGCACCACTCAGTGTCTTGTGCTTTCTGTTCTTCTGAGTATGTGGGTCCGGGGGCTCAGACCTATATACTCCATCAGTATAATTCGACCATTTTATGTTTTCAGACAAGTAATCCGACTGTAATGTTGAAAGTTTTAAATAACAAAATGGATATGATAATAATTAATGTTTAAAAATACAACCCTCACTCCATAGTAGTGTAGTACTATGTGTTTAATCTCTTACACTGTCCAATTCAAGTTCAATTTCTTATTGACTTATGTTCGATCTAATCTAGTTTATTTTCACCGCACCACATCTAACTTTATAATAAGTCGAGGTCAAGTTTATGAATATGGAGAGTATTGACTTGGGAGAGTAATGGCAACGTATGCCAAACTGTACTACCTTTTGATTTATATTGAAATCTTCGTGAATATGTTCTGGTCTGATCAACGTTTCATGATGGTTGCAGCAATCCACTAACGTAGATCTTTGTGTAACAAACAAAAACTTTGAATTTCAAGGTCAGGGGCAAAATCCATGTTCTGCCTCATTTTCCTTGTTCAAAATTTAAAGAGAACTTAAATATTAAATGTCTTTACTAACATTTTTTACCTTCTCTTCAAGAAATATAGATTCAAATGATGATTATTGTAAATACTGAAAGCTTGAAACTTAATTAGCAAATTTTATTAGAACTGAAAATTGATACGAAGTATATTTTTTCATTTATGTATGTACTTGTGAAGTGTATGTCTATTTTGTGTGTCTCTATGCATAGACATATCCTTGTGTGCTTTAAAGTTTTTGTTAAGATTACTTTATGATTGCATTTACAAAACATTGAATAAATCTAAGCTCAAAATAATCAGTTTTTTATAATGTTGATGATCTCTTTATCATAATTTTGGTTGTGTATATGAGGCTGAAATAAAATGCCTTCATTGAACTACTGCTAAAGAATGACTTTTGTACATAATCCTTCTATTTGGTTTTGATGAATGACAAACTTTTATAAGGGATTAGTTGTGAGATTGGAGACTCATTCCGGACAGGTATTTGCTTATTTATAAGATAGAATCAATGAATTATTTTAAGTCTAGACTTTTGCCTATATTCTTAGAGTGGTATTCTGATTTGTTTTTCTCCTCATCAACGTTTGTAGGCTCAAAATTTTAAATGAAAGAAGAGAGATTGAAGGACTGAATGGGGTTCAGTTGTATTGAGGTATTTATTTATAGAGAAAAATGGATAATCCTCACTTGAGAAGATTCAAATTTCCCAAGGACATACTGGCCATAGTAAGGGTTGGTGTGCACACACCTTAAAGTTGAAAACGCTAAAGTCAATTTCTTATTGACTTAGGGTGTGTTTGGGAGTTGAATTTTGAAGGGGAACGTTAATGGGAGTTTATGACCCTCCTTTTATTTTTAATGTTTGGGAGTTTAAAAAATTGGGGGTGGTTTTGGAGGGTTTTTGTAACCCTTCAAAACCATCCAAATGCTTAATTTTTAAATTCCCCTAATTTGGAGGATTTTGGAGAATAATTAACAAAATGGTAATTTAAACTAAATTAGAAATGAATATCAATTCAATGATTTGAATTGATCATATTTCAAAATGATTTTAATTATAATTCACTCAAAAACTTTCTGTTTCTAATTTTATTACTCCCAAATACAAAGAAGGACTTCCTCACTCTTCCTTCAGTTTCACATTCCCCTCTCATTCCCTCTAAACTCCCAAACACATGACTTTAGAATAAGTCGAGACCATGTTTCTGAATTTGAAGAGTATTGGCCTGGAAAAGCAAAGGAAATTATAGGAAGTATGTATGATTTAGGGTCGAAAATTCACAAAGTTTAACATTAACAACAACAAAAACATACAACATACAACATACATTGATCATAACCTTACTCTTCGAAATAAAAGAACAAAAACGATATAGATCTGATCATAGGCATTCATAGCGCGGGATGTGAAATTGTCTAACCAGAGATCTCAATGGATTTGATCTCAGGTTTCTTCTCCTCCTCTTTCGGAACAGTTACAGTCAGCACACCGTTCTCCATTGCAGCCTTCACCTGATCCAACTTGGCGTTCTCCGGCAGCCGGAACCGCCGCAGGAACTTGCCGCTGCTCCGCTCCACGCGGTGCCACTTGTCCTCTTTCTTCTCCTCTTGCTCCCTTGTCCTCTCTCCGCTGATCTGCAGCACCCTCCCTTCCTCCACCTCCACCTTCACCTCCTCCTTTTTCAGCCCCGGCACATCCGCCTTGAACACATGAGCCTCCGGCGTCTCCTTCCAATCGAATCGGGCATTCACGAATGCCGATGTTTCGCTCCCCGTAGCACCGGTGCTTGTGACGGCGTTACAAAACGGGAATCCTTCGAATGGATCCCAGATGTCTAGGGAGAAGGGGTCGAAGACGTTGCTCCGGCGACCTCCGAAGATGCTTGGAATCAGAGACATTCTTACCTTTCAGTCAATGAGAATAAGAATTTGAATAGTGTTGTTGATAATTTTTTATGATTGATGAACGCTTCGAGCAGATTTTTTCCGATGATTTAACCGAGGAACAGGGATGGCATTTTTAAACAAGGCAGAGGATGGAGCTAGAATTTTCAAGTAGCATCCATGTATCTGTCACGTTCTAGAGTCTTCCGCATTTCAACGCCGTTTTTTTCTGCAACGTTCTACAAAGTTCGCCATCAAAATGAATTATTATAACGGAAAATATTATGTGTATTTCAACGGCACCTTCAAAAATACTACCTCCTTTCTCTTTTAATTGTAACATTGGACTTTTTGCACTATTCACATATTCTATTTTGACTATATTTTATTAATTAATGTATTATAAATTAAATTTTTAAAAAATATTGTTACATTCTTCTCATTCTAAATTTTCAAAATATGATTTTTTTTAAATTTTTTACTAATATGGAATGAAAGATATTGATGGTCAAACTTGTGCGTTGGTAAACGTGAAATGTTGACTGTTGCAATTAAAAGAGAACGGAGGAAGTATTGAGCATCGGTACATCAACAGCAATAGCCTTAAAGGCAAATAACAAAAGACAGTTTACAAATATGAGTGGATTCCTAAAATGTTACTCTCTCCGTCCCATAAAATAAGTCTCATTTTCCTTTTTGGGCCGTCCCAAAAAATTATTCCCATTTTCCTTTTTGGAAAGTTTTGTGTGGCTAACACTCATTTACCTTTTTCTTACTCAATCACAACCATACATTTCCACTTTATTCCCACTTTCTTAAACTCTGATCCAAGTCAAAGTGGGACTAATTTTCCGGGACGGAGGGAGATTCCGTACCATATATTGGAAAAGAGGATGATGTTACATTTGTTTTCTTAAAATATTGTTAAAATACCTCGCAAAAAAATATTGTTAAAATATATTTTATTTACATAAATATAACTAATTTTGAATTAATTAATGTTAAAATTAAATTAACATTAATTTAATTCCTTTTGATAATTAATTCAAGTTTAAATATATAAATTTTGAAAGGAAAATGCTTATATATTAAACTAATAGAAACAAACGTCCCCAACATTAGTAGTAAATCAAGCATTCCCTCTAGATTCCATATAGCCAATAGACTCATCGCTTTCTTATCAGATATAGAATAAATCATCAAAATTTGAGCAAATTAATCGTTGAACATGTGATAATTTAAAAACTATTATCGACCAGGAATATCCTGATTGTTTCAATTCAAGTTACCAATTATCAAATAAACCAAAAAATAAACCTTCTATTCCCAATGTTGATAAAAACAAAATTATACAACTAAACTAAAAAGCTAAAGCTAATCATCATAATCATCAAAATCATCATTATCATAATCATCAACATCATCATCATCATCATACGGAGTAATTATAATCATAATTATAGAAATAAATTTTATATTTATATTTACAATAATAATTATAGAAATAAATATAACTACAGATATAATTACAATTATAATAATATTTATAATTATAATTAGTGTAATAGTTATAATGATAATTATACATATTATAATTTTAATTTTAATTATAATTACGATTATAATTAATTTTTTTATAATTATGATTATTATTATTATTATATTTACATTATATTTATAATTAAAATCATAATAATTATAATATAATTATAATTTTAGAAATTTTAATAGGTTGTTTTTCTTCAATATTAACAAATTAAAGTCATTTTCAAAAAATGTGACCATTTTTTCAAAAAGACAAAAAAGTGACTAACAAGATCATATATTTTGAAAAACATGATGTCACTGTCAAATTTTTATGTCACTGTAATATGTCATTATCAGATTTTAAGTCACTTTTTGAATGTCACTACCATTTTAATGTCACTATCGGATGTTAGTGTGACCGTAAAACGTGTCACCGTCATAGCCGGATAATTTTCCGGTGACTTTTTCCGGCAAGATAGTGACCTTTACGGCTGACTAGTGACCATCCCACATCACCGACCGCCACCCAACCGCCATCCCACCACTACATCCGTCTCCCTAGACCGCCCTGCCCATCCCCACACTCCAGCACCCCAAAACCAGTAACCACCATCAAGCTCACTACTCGACGCCGATGTCCAATGCCCACGCCGACGCCCTCTACATTGTCCCTCCCCGTCATAGTCGCAGCCATCACTTCGGCCGACCACCGCCACAGCTCAGTGACCAACGTCATTGCCCCACCCTGACTTGACTCCTCTAAACCCAGCCCCTGCCACTAACTCCTCCATATCCGCCATCTCTGGCCACCCCAATCGCTGCCGTACACCAATCCACTCCTCCTAGCCCCAATCCACACCTCTCAGCCCCAATCCACCCCTCCCAGCGCTAATTCACCCCTCCCAGGCCCACCTTTGACAGTCCAACCCAGCCTCAACCATCACCAATGAACCCTAGTCGCAGCCCTCCGCCAGATCCCGCCAGGTGTATCCGAAGAAGAGAGAAGAAGAAGAGTAACAACAACGACAAGGAGAGGTGCAGCGGCGACGGCGGAGAAGGCATCATCAATGTCGGGCAGCACAAGAGGTTGCGACGAGAAGAAGTGCAACAACGTCGATGGATGAGCCTCACGGCGTCGACGGCTCTGTCTCAAGAGAGAAGCATGAAATCGACCTGGAACGGAGAAGATGACCGTGAAGACAACCGCATGTGCGAAGACCTGGTCTCACGTAGGCGGAGGGCTGTGGGGGCAATTGGAGATGGCTGGTGAAGGCTGAACGGAAAATGTTTGGTGTCCTAAGAAGCAACGAAACGGTACGACTAACTAGGAAGATGAGTCATATAATTGGAAAAAATCAAATGACTCGTATATTTGGAAACCATAAGTCTATTACTAACGCAAATTATACGAGTGCTTATACCGTGCAACCGGTATAGAGTGAGCACCGTATACCGGTACGGATTTATTTTTTTTTTTCCTTTTGTTTTTAAAAAATGGTAATAACTTTTTTATTTTTGATCCGATTTTTATAAAATTTATATCAACATTTTTTATTTTTCATGATCTTTCAAATGAGACCAATATTGCCTATGTAATTTTAACATATTAACATTTGCGTGTAAAATATGTAACTTTACGTGTTAAAATATGTAACTCACGTTCAGTCAGGCAAATGCAACTCGTGTGTATAAATATGTATCTCTACGTGTAACAATATGTAACTTTACGTAAAAAAATATGTAACTCGCGTTCAGACAGGTCAAATGCAAATCGTGTGTATAAATATGTAACTCGCGTGTATAAATATGTAACTTTACGTGTAAAAATATGTAACTTTACGTGTAAATATATGTAAGTCGCGTTCAAGCATGTCAAATGCAACTCGTGTTTATATATATGTAACTCGCTTTTAAAAAGATGTAACTTGCTTATAAAAAGATGTAACTTATGTCACTCGTGTTTATATATATGTAACTCGGTCTATATGTCAAGCATGTAGACCGACATACCCGATCGCGTATGTCTTTGAGTTTTAATCAAAGATCGGTCGAGTATGGTCCGAATACCACTTTCTAAGCATACTCGACCGGGTATAAACATATACCCGATCGGGTATACTTATGAAAAATAACCTGAAACCGATCGAGTACACCTCGAATCGAGTATTACACACATACTCGATCGGGTACCATGTATATACCCGATCGAGTACCCGAATCTCATCCCGAAAGCCTATAAATACACCTCCTTTCCTTCACAAAAAGATATCCCTTCTTCCATACATCTAAGCTCAGTATAGAATAGTTCTTTCTTTATATTTTTCATCATGTTTAGTCTCCAAATGAGGAGCTAAACTCTTCCATCTTGGTTTTGCTACTTTGAAGCTTAATGAAATTGTAAGTTGTGAGTTATTTTCTTTAATCTTCTTCCTTGAATATTAATTAATTCCTATTCATATTTCATATTAATATTTTAAACATTACTTAAAGTATCAACTAGTTTTGTTTCTCATATTAATTATTACTAGAATCAATCGGTTAATACGCTTGTTATTAATCCGGTTCTTTCAACGGTAGTAAACTTGGAATATTAATGCATGCATCTCATGGTTAATATGCCAAGGGGAATTAATTATATTGATTAAACCAATAAACCGCTTGTGTTGAGGTTATCAATCTCAATCGTTTTCATCTTAAGTTTATTGCTACTATCAAGTTAATATACGTCGCTTGTTCTATATTGACTCGATAGTAAGTTTTATTAATGAACGCATCTCGTTATTAATAACTACCCTCGATGAACTGGATATACTCCTCGATTGAGTATTCGAGAGGAAGATAGTTAAAGATATAACCGGGATCAACGAACATTTCATTAAGTGGATAAAAGCAAAACCAAGTTCTCATCTAATTAAATTAAACTCATATAGGTTGTTCATCTTAGTGTTTTTAAATCAAACAAATCTAAACCCCTTTGTTACTACTTATATAAAAGAAAAGTATTCCTTTCCCTGTGGATACGAACCTTACTACACTATACTACGTATTAGTGTTGTATTGATTTATTATTTTGAGTGCACCTCATGACAAGTGCACGTCAAATTTGGCGTCGTTGCCGGGGAAAGGCAATTAATTTTTATTTTATTTCATTCCAAGAAAAAAAAAATATTAAACAAAAATATAAAGAGTGTTTATTTTTCTATTTTCTGAGCTTAGTGGAGTTTATGGTTAAACATCGTTCCATAAACGAAATCACATATCACAAAAACCCAGAAATAGAACAAACTTTCGAGCGGTTGAAAAGTAAATTTTCTAATACCGACTCGGAAGAATCATCTACCAGAGATTCATACACCGCTAGCTCTAGTTCTAGCGACACCGAAGAGCCAACCACTATGGCTCTTGAAACAAGAACGCTGAGGGAGCTCACAGCTCCAAACCTCAACCAACAACCATTGTGTATTGCCTTCCCTACACTTGATGAGGGTAATACGTTTGAGATAAAATCTGGGCTCATTCATCTGCTGCCATCCTTCCATGGCCTAAGGGGAGAGGACCCGAAAAAACACCTATCGGAGTTCCACGTCGTTTGCACAAGCATGTGTCCAAACGATGTGATAGAAGAACAAATCAAACTGCGGGCGTTTCCATTTTCACTGAAGGATACCGCAAAGGATTGGCTATT